CTCTGACAGCAAGACCGGCCATTATTAGAGACCCGGCCGCTATTGGAATACAGGCCAATATTAGAGAATTTACGGTAAATTAACTTAAAATCCTGAACCCTGCTGACAGAATATGTTCGCTTTTATTCTCCTGGCGCCTGCCTCCTCGCGGCCGGCCAGAGGCTGCTGTTGAAGGGATTCCTACTGTCAGCGCACCGCTGGCATGTGGGGGTCTGAGCGCAGGATGATAATCTGGATGAACTGACTGCAATGATTAAGTTTTCAGGTGGACTTTCTCACTTAAAAACATATTAAAACTACTTTATTCCCACTGATCACAGCAAATATAGCTGCAAGGTGTATTTATTACGGCCGTGAGAGACACATAGCTGATGACACAGGGCTGTGATTACTCCTCTGAGACAGTTTATTTGCACATAAATTAACTTAAAATCCTGAAACCTGCTGACAGAATATGTTCGCTTTTATTATCCTATTATCCTTTTATAATCCTTTAGATTATTTAGATGAAAAACACCTACCAGCCACCGCGGTGAACCCGGAGGCGACGCGGCCCAGAGGCTGCTGTTGAATTAAGTTTTCAGGTAGAAAAAGAGAGCGGGAGCAAAACTGAGTATGATTGCGCTTTATACATGTATTTATTACTAAGTATTAATCGAACCCATCAAAGTCATCATCCTTAGATTGTACCAGTTAGTTCTGACGTGCGGCTGAAGCATCTTTGCTGCTCTGCCTGCGCAGTGCAAAAGTGTGTCTGACACGCGTTGGGCGGAGCTTCACTATCCTTTCTCTGCCTTGCAGCTATATTTGCTTTCCAGCAGCAAAACTTCAATTTTTCTATCTCGAGCAGCAGCAGTAGCGCGTCAAGCACGTCAGATGCTTAAACGCTCCCGACGCGCTGCGCCTGCTGCTCAAAACGCGCTGCTTTGCATGTAAACTCGCTGCTAATGCTGCACCTGCTGCGTCCGGTTTACACCGATGTCGAGTGGTTGAAGTTCCTTTGTCAGATCTCCCGCAATAAGCACAGCGTTCATTTGTTTTACCATGTTTTTCACATCAGCTGTGAGATGGGTACGCATGGAGTCACAGATTAACAGAGATGGTGATGAGTGGAAAAAAACCACCTGGTCTCCTTATATTCACCTCCCTCAGCCACTCTTTCATCATCTCCTTAATGAGGAGATGAGGAGTTCTGCATGGTGCATGGTGGTCTCAAAAGTCCGCAGTAACAACACACATAGGGCACACCGCACCAAAGGGCGCACCGCACATTTTGAGGTGAAAAAAAGACGTTTATATGCGCCTTATAGTCGTGAAAATATGGTAATATGCCCTGCTCGGCTGCGGCTACTTCAGCTCCGGTTAGCATCGCAAACCGGATGCTACTTTCGGCAGTTAAAACAGCGATTCCCGTACCTACAACACAGCGTCACAGTATAGGAATAGAGTACACCTGTAAGACTCTAATTGAGAGCCTGCTGACCAGCTACATCTTCATCTGGCCTGGGAGCTGCAGGGCCTCTGACTGGAAGTCTCTACAGAGGGTGGTGAGGACAGGGGAGAACATCACGAGGGCGCCGCTCCCCTGCATCAAGAATATCGCGGACAGGCGCTGCTCAGCCCGGGCTCACCAGATCCTCTCCGACCTCACCCACCCCAACCATTAGGGGTGGGTATTGGCAAAGAAGTCATGATTCGATTCGAATCACGATTCACATGCCACGATGCGATTCTATCACGATGCATCACGATACTTGAAATATTGCGATGCATCGCAATGCATTGCGATATTTTCACTGAACACTGTAAGAAAAGGATACAGCCATTACCAGTGGCTGACTGGCTGGGTGTGATCTGGATAGTGTCTTCAATTGATACATAACTGAAAGCAACTGAATTCATGCCATGAAAACAAATACTGGACAGAAATATTACTATTACTGGTGTGGAAACTATGACAAAAAGATCTTAGGATTCATCAAACTTAAAACAACAAAATAAGGATAATCAGTGCCATTTACATGGCCTCAGTGGTCCTTTAAACCAATAAAACGAAAACATTCAAATGTATATTTCCCCTTTTGCAAATGACATGCATCATATCAATTTCGTTTTTACCTTCCTTGTTTTTAAAGCCAGAATGCATCCAAGCATCTGACTTGAAATGTGATGGAGCCGCGGAGCGAATTTTCTCAGTCTCCTCCATATTTTGTTTACGAATGACTAGTCTCAGTATCCCAAGCAGGACATGCTTGTGACGCAAAGCAGCGGGCGTCAACACATCCGCAGCAACATCTGCTGGACTGGAAGTGGTATTCCACTTGGTTTGGCTGATGTGCGCCAACCATTCATGTATTTTATTTGTTCATTTTTTTTTTTTATAATCGATTCTTGCCTTCAAGAATCGATGCAGTAGATCACAAAAATTAGAATCACGATGCATCGATTTGACGATTATTTTGCACACCCTTACCAACCATGGACTGTTTTCTCCCCTGGCGAGTGGCAGAAGGTTCCGCAGCATCTTCTGCAGAAGGACCAGACTACTGAACAGTTTCTTCCCCCTGGCCATCAGACTGCTTAACGCCACATAACAAGAAGTCATTCAAGCCTGGCATGATGTGAATCAAGGCAGTGGAGTCCCACATGTGAAATGTGAAACACAAAGCAATATTTTTTCAATTCCGAAGAGATGGCACTGGTCGACCTCATCAATCAGGAGGAAGAAGAACTCCCTTGTTTGCACATGTAGAGTGCTCAAGGTTCTGTTAAATCGGCTTGTATATGTTCGTAGCGGCGCTTAAACAGCAGGATTTGCCCATTAAGACCTTACAATGGCCGACTGAATTTCAAACATGTTTGATTTTCTCCCAACTTTACGATTCCTGATCAGGAGATGGTCGCGAAAGTCTTATCGCACCATTAGGCTGTAACCCGGCCTGATCCACAAAATTTTTTGCATGACTGGAGAATTGGCCCGAAAAGGGCAAAAAATCTTACATTGTATGCCTGCCTTTACCAAGAAGCAGCAGATCCGTTCCACCCTTACCTCTGCAGTGCCTCCTCAGCCATCTCCAACATCAACACCGTCAGATGCACCAAATCTCTGGATGTTTTCTTTGCATAATATGGGGCTTGTGGTGGATACAGCTATAAAAAACAAATTATTTAGTAGTTCTGGCTTATCTATAACAGGAAACAAGAGGTTTTGGCTCTTCAAATGTTTTTATTTTTAGTGTTTTCACACAAAACAGTGGTCTCTTGCTTTAATTAACAACCTTATGTTTTCGCAGAGGCAAGCAAAAATAGAATACCCAAGGCGATGGTAGACGAATGTCATCGTGCACTTACCATGTTCATTATTAACAGAATCGATAAGGAATCTGGTTATGTTTTCGATTACCATCCCTGTACCAAACTGAAAAATAGTTGATCTCTACTTAAAAACAATTTAGATTTTAAAATCGAAAAACATTCTATTTTTTCTTTTTTTATTATTAAAAAAATTGGGTGTATAAAATCGATGCATAAGCACCTGCATTTTATGTCAGTGTTAAATGCTGTTTAAAGTAACGGATTATATTAAAAATTGTCTCCGGAACTTTACTGGTTGTTGATTTTCTTTAGTCAGACCCCACTGATTTTTAATTGATTACCCCTGATGTTGAGTATTCAATCATAGTCTTCAGTGGGAATCAAATGAACACATATAATGTCCTTTTTAACCTTTTTTATTATAAAAGAAATTGCAATTCAGACCAGCTTCCAGGAATAACTGTAGCACTGTGCTTATTTTGAGAGATAAGATATCAGAGTTCTCTCTTAAGCTACCGGTACTTAAAAAATTTCTCTTAAGCTACCGGTACTTAAGAAACCTTTGGTTTCTTTTATTTTTCTTTTTTTTTTATTCTTTCATTTAACCATTGTAACTTTGGTTCTGTTTGGGTCAGTATGAAAGCACAATCAAACTCCAATGTACATCAAACTAGAAGAAGGTGGTCTCGATTCAGCTCCATGTGAATTCTGGTGCACACCAGTGCATCGGTGCACACTGATATCTGAAAACGTACTCTAGTGCGGTAATATAATAAAATATCTGGACCAGATGAGGATATGTGCATGTTTAGTAACAGTAATCTTTTCCTTCTCTTAAATCCAGTGGATATTTCTATTCAATGTCTCCATTGCATCAGCATGTTATTCTTAAGCAGCACCACTTATTTTTTTAGACACCGTCGTTTGCCAATAGTTGTAAAAAACAAAACATGAATAAATTAAATAAAGTTAAACAGGCTGTTTAAAACTCATGTTTTTTATCCATCAGTTTTTACTGCTTCACAACAATGGTCAAAGAGGCTGACTATGGGTTAGTCAAAGGGACAAACTTGCTTACATCTGAAATGAGATTTTGAAGAAAAAAAAAACATTATGAATACTTTTCAATTAAGTTTAATTATTCCATTAACACTGCCCTAGTTAGTATTTAACCGAATTGGTGACATTATTTCCTGGCGGAGCTTTTTAATTTATTGAATTTGTTGTTTTCAGCTGCCACAGCTTTTATAGCAAGCGCTATTCCAGAGCCCTCTACCTGGGTGCTAAAGCCATCCAACTGAACAGCAACAGTGTGCAAGCCCTCCTACTCAAGGGCGCTGCCCTGAGAAATATGGGCCGAGTCCAGGAAGCCATCATCCATTTCAGGGAGGCCATGCGGTTAGCCCCATGCAGACTTGACTGCTATGAAGGCATGTCTTTTTTTATTTATTTATTTATTTATTTATTTATTTATTTATTTATTTATTTTTTAACCCTTTTATGGTCTGATTGTATCAGGAGTACAGCATTTCTATTCTGCATTCATTAACTTGCATGTGCATTCCTTCAGGTCTGATCGACTGTTATCTGGCCTCAAATGGGATTCGAGAAGCTATGGGAATGGCAAACAATATCTATAAGACTCTTGGGGCAAATGCACAGACCCTTACCATTCTAGCCACTGTTTGTCTGGAAGACCCTGTGACACAAGAGAAGGCCAAAGCTCTGCTTGATAAAGCTCTCGCTCAGAGACCAGACTACACCAAGGCTGTGGTAAAAAAGGCTGAACTGCTAAGTATGTACCAATTACAAAACAGACTTTTGGTTGCACATAGGAAACTAATGTAGTTATGTCAGGTATAAAATTTGCACTAATCTTTGTGTTAACTTATGGAGCAATAGTTTGTTTGTTTACTAATTAAATAACTTACTTTTGTGAAGATCGGGAACAGAAATATGAGGAAGGGATTGCTCTTCTACGGAATGCCCTGGCCAATCAGAGTGACTGCGTCCTGCATAGAATGCTGGGAGATTTTCTGGTCGCTGTCAATGATTATCAAGAGGCTATGGACCAGTACAGCATAGCATTGAGGTAGATGTAATCACATTTTCGTTTGTTTTCACAATCATTTATATTTTCAGTACTTTATTCTGTGATATGTTTTTCTTTTCCTATTTTTTAGGATTAGTAGGTGAAGATGCGACAATAAGTGTTGGGACTAAAGTATTACTAAGTAACATTACCTAGGTTACTTTTGCAGTAAGTAGTACTGTAACTAATCAGTTTGTAAAAGACGGTAACACATTAGTCATTACTACCCTTTAACACTAGAACTCCCAAGGCCGTCATTTTGACCGTTTTGAGATTTTAAAGGGAAAGAACTTTATTTAAAATTAATCTTATGTTTCTCATGTTAACTGACTTTTTCTGTTTCTATATTTCCTTCATTTTCAAGTAGTTTTTTAATTAAAAAAAAAAGTGTAAACAATAACTATGGTTAATTTTACCTTGATCTCCCACAGCCAGCATTTTAATGGCTCTATTAGTTGCATTGTAAATTCTTCCCGCGGTTGATTGACGTTCGGTACCATTGCCTAGGAACCAACATTCTACCAAGAACTCTTTGGCTAATATGGAGGATGTGGAGGACTGGGTAGGAAGCGGCTTAGAATCTGACGGCGAGTCCGAGGATGACCGCCGGCCCCCGGGAAAATGCAGATGTATCAGTGACCCTTTAGACAATAGTAAAACTTTTGTTCAAGCACTGCTCACACCTCAGCCGGTTCACTCAATGGCCCAAAAGCCAAACCAGAGCCCGCAGTCTATTATAACCACACACAGGTCTGCTGGATATGTCGGATCAGATGATTAGGAAGGATTCTGTAAAAGCTAAGACGAGACGGTGGCCTGTGGTTGTATTTTAAGGTGTCCTGGAAATATCAGCTTTAAGTGTAATGTTTTTTTCAGGAGGTGTTTGTCACTTTATCCTTGAATTGGTAAAATGGTTGCAGGCAAACCGCAGGATTCCAGCCCCTCTGCCGCTGAAGAGCAGCGTTGGAGAGGCAGAGAAAACAGCGCTTCACAAAAAAATGCTCATATTAGGTTTGTCATAAATGTGAAAAGGTGGTCTGCGGGAAATGTTTGGGGGGAATCAATCAATTTCTTAAAAAAAAATTGTAATTTCCAACGTTGAACCTCTGTAGTAAAAAAGTCTTACTCTATGGATTTGTTTTTAATATAAATTTAGAACACAAATAATAATAGCATACGATACAGCCTTTGAAAATATATATTGGACCTATTTTAAGGTTTACATATCCACAATGGGTTTATATCGCACACTAGAACTATCTCAGGTGATGACATCACTACTCATGCGTTCCATTGGGAAAAAATGACACCCGTCAAATTAACAACCAGTGGGAGTTCTAGTAGGATCAGAATTCTGGGAGTCCTAGTGTTAAAGGGGGATGCTGGGGTTTTTTTTTTATTATTATTATTTTACATTGAGCCCTTGATTTTACATTATTACATCATGTTCTACTCACCTATATAAGTTTTGTGTCATTTGGAGCTGTTCCGCAGATATTTCGTTATATCTGCGGAACAGGTTATATTCAAGTAACGACTTGAAGGCACTAACTAAACTGTTCATAATTGATCATTTATGGTACGCCAGCATTTATAACATGTAGGCGAATCACTGTCCCCCAGACATCCGCGGTTATATTTTTATATTTATAAAAGCAGCGCGTGTATGACGTCCCCCGCGCGCACCGGCTACCGTTCATTCATCCTGTCCGCTGAACTGCTGCTAGTTTTTTTTCACATACCTGGAAGATGTCTAGTGCTACTACCACAGATGATCTCACTCTCCAAATGGAATTGAACGATTCAGATTAGCTAGCCTAATTCATAGAAGGGGTAGGGCGTAGACGCCTGTGGCCCAGGCTGCCTATCACAACTCCAGTCCGGCGCGCGGATGACGTCATACACACTCCGCTTTGTTTTAAAAAAATATAAATATAAAAAATATAACCACTGATGTCTAGGGGACAGTTATCCGCCTACATGTTATGAATGCTGGTGTACCATAACGCATGAATTATTAACAGTTCAGTTTGTGCCTTCAACTCGTTGCCCATAAGAAGACGTTACTTGGATTACAAAACCAAATATCTTCGAAACAGCTCCAAATGACACAAAACTATGGGTGAGTAGAAAATTATGTAATACAGTAACTTAAAGGGGAAAATCTTTTTTTTTTACATTGGCCCCTTGATTTTAAGGTACATAGATAAGGATGACAGTCTCCTTGCATAAGCGTATGTGTCAGCAATATGCAGGTGTAAGCGCATGTAACAGAGCAAATCTCGGAAACATTTAGCGTAATTGTCTCCCCTCTATGTGGGGCGAACAAAAACTATGTAAACATTGGAAAGAAACTGTAATTTAAAGATGATTTACAGTTTCTCATGCAAAAATCCTGGGATCATGCAGTCCTGTGAGGAATTTTTTATTTTTTGGGGGGATAGTGTAACCCTTATTTAATTCTATTGCAAAATATCTATTTTATTTTTGTTACATTGTTTCAAAAGTATTGTTATTCAGCTTAATAATTCTTTTATAGCCAATTAAAGGCTTTCCAATGTGTAAAGATATAAAGTTCCAAAAGATCTTATTTTTCTTTTATTATAAACAAGAAACATGATCATGTCTAAATAATTATATTGCTGTCAAATCACACACATCAAAATGGTGCGGGTTAGTTTTCAGTGTTTTTCCAGATGTATAGACCTTTATTTATGAATCAATTAATAACAAACACCTTATGTTCCATAATTAAACATTTAGTTATACTTAAAATTAAAATTTTCTCAATTCTTAGAAATTTTTTAAATATTATGCTGCGTTCACACCGGGGGCAGCTGGCGCGACAGAAGCAGCGAGTTTACATGCAAAGTCAATGGTTGACGCGCGTCAAGGCGCAGCAAAAGGTCCCGCGGCGCGTTTCGAGCAGCAAGCGCAGCGCGTCTGAGCAGCTGAAGCAGCGCGTGACGCGCCGCAAACGCGTTGCAAACGCGTTGCTGCTCGAGATGGAAAAATTGAATTTTTGCTGCTCGACGCGCCGCGTCAACCAATCAGAGAAGCTGATCTGGGAGCTGGCTGGGAGAGAGACACAGCGCTGATGACACAGACCGCTCTGATTACTCCTCTTAAACAGTTTATTAACGCACAATTAACTTAAAATATATACATCTGCCGGCAGAATATGTTCGCTTTTATTATCCTGATGCCTGCAGATCGGATTATTTAGATGAAAAACACCTACCAGCCGCCGCGGTAAACCGCGAGGAGGCAACCCGGCCAGAGGCTGCTGATGAATGGATTCCTTCTGTCGGCGCACCGCCGGTATGTGGGGGTCTGAGCGGCTCCGACAGAAATAATATTGGGAGGCAGGATTGTAATCTGGATGAACTGACTGCACTGATGAAGTTTTCAGGTGTATTTTCCCACTTAAAAACATATTAAAACTAATTTTTTCCCACTGATCACAGCAAATATAGCTGCAAGGCAGAGAAAGGATAGAGTAGCTCCGTCCAACGCGCGTCGGACACAATTTTCGACCGCGCAGCCAGAGCAGCAAAGCTTCTTCCGCCGCGCGTCAGAAGCTGGTACATGCAGCAAAAAAATGAAGCGGCAGACGTGATTTTGCTGCTCCTGCTGCATCTAGTTTGAAAGCAGCATGATTCACTCCGCTCTGGCTTTGCACTGCCCACGGGCTGCTGAGAGGAGGATGGTTGTGCCGGCTGCGGTTCGCTCTTCTTGCACTCAAACACAGAGCAACTTTCTGCTCTTAAATTGTTTCCGTGCACGATGTATTGCATTGCGCACTGTTGGCATCAGTCTTAATAAAGTGAAGCCACACTTTTGACCTGGGGGGCATTTTAAAGGGGTTCCATGACGCTCGCAACCAGTTCACAACAGATACACATGAACCCTGGCTGTAGGCGTGACCACGTATCTATTTTTCCTGGATGACGCAATCATGTTAAGTGTTACAGCCAATCACCGAAACTTGGTACCGAAAGACGAGGCATGTTTCGATACTCTGTAGAACCGAAGCATTTCGGTCGGTACCATAAAAGAATTGAAGTTCGGTACCCAGCCCTATATAACAGTAACTTAATAGTTGACTATGAACGAGTTGCTTTCAATGAGCACTAACTGTGTTATTAACTCAGTTACTTTCTTTGAGAATTAACTGGAACCTATAAATAGTTTAAGTAACTTGCCCACATTGTGACAATGCTTTTGATTTGGTGTGACATTCTTCCCTAAAGTAATCCTTTTATATAACTTGATTCAATTGTTGTATAGGCCAACTCCTGGGTGTTTTTTTTTATCTTCCAGCTTGGATCCTAATGACCAGAAGTCTTTAGAGGGCATGCAAAAGATGGAGAAAGAAGAGAGTCCCACAGACGCCACAGTGGAACTAGATGGTGATGACATGGAGGGCAGTGGGGAGGAAGGAGATTTGGAGGGTAGTGACAGTGAAGCTGCTCAATGGGCTGATCAGGAACAGTGGTTTGGGATGCAATGACCCACACCTTAGCCCACCGCAAGCCTACAGCCACTGTTCCATGTAAACAGACCTCCATTCTGGTGGCACCTGGAAGTTACATAGCAAAACATTCTTAGATGATCCTGGTTTGGAAAGCCTAAGAAGGGATTTTCCAGAGACTAACCATCAAATGTTAGGTTTCTGTTACTTTATGGAATAGCTACCCATCTGTTTTGATATTCAGCTTAACGCGCTCTGCGTTAAGTTAAATTTCCTTTTTCTGCTAACATCACCAGCTTTATTCTGATCTCACTATTGCTTCATTTACCTGTATCAGTCACTGCATCTAGGCAGTTGGCATCCACTGACATAAGGAAAAAGAAAACAGATTTTTTTGGTTTGTAGAAAGACATTTCAAGGGGGAAAAATGCCCTTGTCCTTTACTTTTAAAATTATCTTTTCTGTACCACCTGATCTGTTTGCTTTAAACTGTTCTGTATAAAGATGCTTTCAGGTAAACAAACACGTGACAGCAGTTGGATTTATTCCCCTACAGCTGTGTAAATGACGGACAGAAACAAAACATTTATGATGCAAATGCAATTTGTGTTTGTGTAAGACTTGATGTCCACCGTGTCACACCACAAAAATGTGAAAATGACTGGACTTTGTTCAACATTTGGTGTTTAATAAAGACTTGAACTCACTAAATTGTAAAGTGTCACTGAACATTTATAAGTAAAACGCTTATATTTTATACATATTTTAATAAATGTATAATAAATTTGAAATGATTCTGAGATTCTGAGTCTCCTTTATTGTAAAAGATGCCATTAAAACAACAAATTATTTACTGAAGTATGATTCAGCTCTAAGATCTTTTCTTCTTGAATAAGGAGCATTGGAACATATTTGTTCACATCTCAGGGTTAGGGGTTATTACGATTGATAAATGAAAATTTTGAAGTGGCACATTGATTCTACATTCACCTTGTAAGCTGGTCCTTTTGATGTCCAAGTATTCACTGCTGTAAATGGAAGAGAGTTTCCTTAAAACATATTCTTTGATTTTTATTTTTTAAATAATTCTAATTCAAAACAATGAAAACAAAAGAAATATAAGGAAATTATGTAATTGTGTACTTTTTTTCTCTAAAACAAATTGAGCCAAGGTGCTAAGGTTCTGTTTCTAAAGCTGAAATTTGAAGACTATTTTCCATATTAGGTTTATTGGTCTCCCTAAATTTTCTTTAGTTTGAGGGTGTGTACCTGCACATCACATTGAGTGAGGACATTTTGCTCGTCCTCCCAAGGTATTTTGTATAGGGCTAAGGTGTCAGTTGGTTTAGGGTGAGGCCTGCAATGGTAATTGATAAGTTTTGGGTTGGAGTTCAAAATGGCTGAAAATTCCCATTTTCAGTCAACACATGGTCCTCACTACACAAACTGGGGGGTGTGTATGGCCGTGTTTTTCCTTGAGGGGGACAAAGTTCCACATCGCGGGGCACTAGACCAGGTCCGCTTGGGGGAGATCACGTTTTATCCGTCCCTGTACAAATGGGTTCGGCCAATATACAAGCACAGATCTCGTTATATCTGCCGTGTGGGGACTATAAATCTGATATTAGGGAGGAAGGTACTGCTGCTGAATCTCCTTGTTAAATTTTTATAGCACCCACAACAGTAATGAGAAGTTCGGTATCCTTTGCTTGCTTTGTGTGTTAGCGTATTGGTGGTAAAAGCCGGAGAAGGCTAAACCTGTTTTACAATACATAGTCATAAACAGATAGTCATTGGACGCTGCTGGTAGTGAGGCTGACTTGCCTATAGTGCAGCCATCTTGGGTCAGACCATACCAGAATGAATAGCAGGCACCTCAGATCTCATTTTGAACACATGAAAGATGAGTATTCATATTCCAGTATTTATACAAAGTATTTGTATTAGGAAAAACACTGTACAGTACAGTATTTTTTTATTTATTTTTTTATATATTTTGTTTGACTCTCACTTATTCTTATTTTTTATCCACTTTTTAAGGTCCACATTTGTGAGACCAATTAGCTGTAATCTTGACACTAACAATTTACCCATTGTGGGAAAACAGACAGATTTTATATTACATATATATAGCTTAAATATATTGTTTATTCAGTAAAGTCTCACAAAGCTCTGATGCATTCACAAAGTTATCACTCGAGCCCTGATGTCGACAATCCGTCAATTCAAGGAGAAATACACCTCACAGTGCTGAGGCATCCTTCTTTTCTTCTACTGTACTTAAAGCAGCAGTTTAGGGTAGCAGGTCAATATCCCCAAGATGGCGCCTAGCAACCGTGACAGTTGGCACAAAAATCAGGAATAGGAAGAGTATGGATACTGAACTTCTGAGTTATTTTTTTTTTCATATGTTGTAAACTGAACAAGGACTAAAGCCATGAGAATACAGAGTTAAAAAAGGTGACAACCACCCAGAGCATGAACAAATATAAAGCAAATGTAATGATAAAATGGGGGTAGACAATGTATGTATAAAAATATTTCTGAAAAATCTCTTATATTCAACAACAAAAAATAGTTAAGCAAAATAATTAAATAATAATAATAAAAGAAAAGCTATGCAGTAATAAATTAGATTGAAAAAGAAGACATTCATACAGAAAAGCAGTCTTTTAGCATATAGACATTTTCTTTATGGAAAAAGTAAGTATATTCATTTCATACATAAATGCTATGATCATAGGGAGAGTTTTCGTACGAGGAGATTTTTGTAGGAGAAATTTGACCATAATTATATTAATAATTAAAAATTCTACTTGTTTATCTTGGGCATTAATATTAAATTTCATAGCCGAGGGGGGTAGAACATTTATGTTTAAAGATTTAAAGAGTAACCAGTTATGAACTGAGGATAAAAATGTTTGGGTTTTATTACAATAAAAAAAAAGATGTCCAGTTGAGTCTTCTTGCTCACATGGACAGTTGTCTACAGTGAATTTAAATTTGGAGCAGTTTAATTGGTTGGAAGGATGAATGTCATTTAAAGTTTGGAAATTAATCTTCATATTTAGACAGAATAGCAAATTTCAGATATTTGGTTCTCAATGCAGATATAATTCTTTTAATAGGAAAGGTCTTTTATATCCTGGCGCCATATAAATAGCGCCCGTTGATTAGTTTCTTTCCTAGACAGAGCCACCTATGGAGCGACTTTACTATTACTGTTTCTATATAGGATGTATTTATGGATCAGAAACTCTACATTAAAGCACATCAAGACCCACTGTAGCAGTGTTTCAAAGACACCAGGACAAGTGAAGTAAGATCCTTATATATGACAGCTTTAATTACCTGAAACGGTCCATGTGATATACTTAAAATTACAGTACAGAAGTTCAGCAACAAAATGCCTGACCAACTTAGAGTAAAATATATGCAAGACTGCTCATCTGCCTTCCAAGTTATGGCAAAATATCCTCAAAAAGAAAACAAAATGTTCTTTTAAATATTCCATAAAACTATTTTCTTACAAAAAACTAAACAGAGACTTTTAGGGTTTATAACATTTGTACTGATTAAAATCTAACAGATGTGTAAACTTCTGAAAAAATGGATGCAAAAATGTTTCATCTAAGTTCCTCATGCAGAAAGATAAAAGGACTGACTAGTAACTTATGGATATTTGAGATTATGGAGTCCCCTGTCATGATATCACAGCATGCAGCTCTTTCGTAGAGATGTGCCACCCAAAATATACATACAGACCACAAAACAAAACTCAGACTTTATAAGGAATAAAATGTGGAAGGGGACCTATTTGGTCTTTCCTGTAAAAAGAAAAAAGAAAGGAAAAAAATCAGAGGGCAAAAATCATGTAAAATTTAAGAAGAAAATTAGCCTGGAAGCCAGGTAGTTAACAAAAACAAGCCTTATTAAACAATATTAAATGGTAATATCCTGTATATGGAAATTTGCTTCTAAAAGTCTAAAATTAAAATAACAGGCATTAAAACATCTTTGTCGGTGATGCACTGGCACCTGGCGACACTGATGGCATTTTATAACACAATCTCTTTTCACAGTTTCTGAACCATGAGGCATTTCTGTTCGATCTTAATATACACACAGCAGTAACTTAGTTTTTTCTGTAAATGAACACAATGGTAGTGGGCATGCTGATTAGAGTTCTCACTCTGCAAGTAAACCTGTCCAGGAGTTAGTCCCTTAATTTATAAATATGACCAGAACTGTCATAAAACAGCCACACCCGGTAAGTAACCAACGTTAATGTTTGCTGCTTTTTGACAAAAAACTAAATAAACACAGACTCTTGTTTGTTTTGTACGGATATACAGCAGCTTCAAAAACAAATTTTTTCACCCATGTTGTGCTCTGCTAAATCTTACAGCTTGGTGCTTTTATTACATATTCAAGTGAGAGATATATCACATTTTTAGCCATACCATTAAGAGCAAATGCAGACCTAATGTAAGGAAAAAGCTAAAAATAATAATGAAAACATATTTTCTTCAAGTAAAAACAAAGCAGAGACATTTATTGAAACCTTTTGGTAAAGATGTGAGGTAAATACATTAATTCACCTTAAGTTAAGTTAGAATAAAGTCACATTACAAACTTAAAAAAAAGATCCAACATTTAATTTCACCACATATTGGTGGAACATTTATTCTGCTATTAAAACTTTACACAACTCCCTTGAACAAACAGAATGACCATTAGTTTCCTGTAAAATCAAGTTGGTAGCGTACAGGGGGAACCTTCTTTGGATATTCTATCAGGGTTGTCAAAAGCTTAAATGTAAAATATATTTTTGTGCAGGTTTGATTACAGTTCTGACAGGATTTTTGGTTTGGGAAATGGCACATGAAATTAGATTAGTTGATGATTATTATTAAATCAATTAAACCTACAATTAATAAACTTTAAACGTCCCAGAGAGCAATGCTTAGCTATATATATATATAGATATATAT